GTGGTTTAACTGAAGATGTTTGGCACAGTATTTGGAGATTGTACACCAGATTGTATTGCCCTTCAGAAAATGACAAACAAAGCAAAAACAGTGCTGTTGTGACTGACTCGAGTGGAGAAATGTGTTAACTGGTAAAGTTTCATTTTTCGGTGTCCCATTAAGGACACTTTTACCGACTGTCCATTTAGCAAAACTCTTATTTCTCATGTACTCAGAGCCATTTCATTATTGGTATTGCTGTAGACATGCTGCCCGATTCAATCCCCAGACAGCCTTGAACAGAAACGTGACACAGTAAACTGCCGTATTTACAAACTGCAGATAACCAGTAGGCTAATTTTGGTTCAGTGCATCCTCGCGAGGTTCAGAAGGCATGTTATTAGCAGAGCCACAGTAGATTGTGCTTCAGTTAGGTCATAACAGGATGAGTGTGTCATACTGGAAAAACGGAAAACAGGACTACTATAGATATTAACTATGACTGCGAGATTCATGGAAACTTGTTTCAGCAGCTGAGAAAACTCTTTTTGCCACTGAAAAAACAAAATTTTGGGTTATTATCGCAAAAACTGACTCATAATTGAGAAAATAACTTGAAATATTGATACATGGATTACAAAAAAACCCTCCGTTCATTTTCCCCCCAGGGGCAGAAACAAGTCTCCACAGAGATAACACATGACCGCGGAGCGCGTTCATGTGGGTCATTTTAGTGCATCAGTGATGTGAGTGAGCGCGGTAGGAGTACGTATGCTGTGCCGCGGGGCTCATGATGTTTTCCGTGATGTACGCCACCAGCAGGCAGATGATGACCAACATCACGCAGATAGCCCCGCCCACCGTTGTCATGGCGATCACAATGTCTTGCATCCCGGACGGCGGCAGCGTGAACTCCACGCAGTCCCGCTGCTCCGGCCTCTCGGCTGGCTCGGAGCGGCCCAGGTTGCGCAGACAGATGCGGTACGGGATGTTCTCGTGCAGCTCGGTGAGCAGAAAGTCCCTGCAGCCCGACCCAAGATGGACACCGGCGCACTCAAACTGAGTGTAGCTGCCATTCCACCAGCAGCTTACCTCGTAGCCCCAGCGTCTGTGGCGTCGACCCCTGAAAACAGAGTCTGATCGCGGAGTTTCCTCCTCTGTCGCATTCGTCCCAGGACTGCTGGCCTCTTTAGTCTTTGTGGATTCGGACTCGTGGGTCCACTGTAACAGTACGCTGCCGTTGTTGAGAATATTTGCCACCAGCCTCCCGAAAGACACCGCACTCCTGCACTCTCCCTTAGAGCACTTGTACCCAAACAGAGTTTGCCGAAAGCACAGCTGCCCCCCAATGCCTCCCTCGATCACTCTGTAGGCGCACACCGGTGATGGCACGTCCTCTGGGCTCCATCTCGGTGCCCTGCCAGGGCTGTCAGATATCACAGTATTATTATTATTATTATCATTATTACTATTGCCTCGACTTGTGTTGAACAAGGAGCTCTTCACGTGGCCTGTTACCTCTTCATGCTTTGATGGTGGCCTGCTCTGATCGCTGGGAGTCACGTTAGTCTGTTTCAGCCAATTTTGGGTCACATTATTTCTGTCTCTCACCTCTGATGAGGGCGTCGATAATGATGATGATGATAATGATGAGCTATTGAGCTGATGAGAGCCAGCTGTCTGGGGTAGCGTGCAGAGCAGCAGTGCCGATAAGGCGAGCAGGGATGGTCGCTGTGGGTTTGTCATCTCACCGAGCTCTCGTCGAGTTATTTCCTCTCACAGTGGATCAGATGGGCGATGGCTGAAATGTCTGCCATAAGATGCGATCCAATTCAGTGCACGCGAAGAAAATCCGCGTGAAAGGGGATCCATGGGCGACAGAAATAACATTGAGTCATGCGCCCCGTGCAGTTGGTGAAAGATCCGAGGGTGACCTTGCAGGATGAAGTTAATGCAGCAGAAACGGCGATAAAAGTGGCCTCAGTGCAGCTCGCCGCTCCCGGACAGTTGGAGTGGACCGGAGGAGCAGGCTCGTGCCATCAGATTGGATTTCTTCTTCCCGTCTGGCTTGACGTAAATGGCTTTGATGCCTGCTGTGTTAGAGTGCACGTGCAGGAGCGCGCCCCGCGGAGTGCTGGGCAGCGTGGGTGCGTGCACAAAATATTTCTTGTCATCAGTGCTCGGTTTGTGAGTCATCAGCCCACACAGCGCTTCAGGTAGCTGTCAAGTCACCTGTGCGGACTCCCGAAAACAGCACTGATGGAGGGATTGAAGTCTGCCCACCTGCGCTGAGTGTATCCTTTATGACTTATGGTCGGGTCGCTGGAAGCAAATGTGCCCAGTTACAACGTTACAGCATCGATGCTCTTTTCATGGCTTCATCCTGGAAAATGGTCAGATTGTCTGAGATGAAGTCAAACTGAGTTCAAAGCCAGAGTGTTGTGACCCTGTGTAAAATTAAATAAAAACGGAAAGATTTGCAAACCTCACAAACCCATATTTTTTCCACAACAGAATAAAGAAAGCATATATTTGAAATGAAAGTATGTACACCTTTAAGGAAAAAATATCAGCTCATCTTTTTATTTGATGGTAGTAACACATATCAAAAAAGCAGAACAAAGCCACGTTTATCACTGTTTACATCCGCTCCTCTGCCTCTGTTAACAACAGCCTGGGAACATCTGGGAACTGAGGGGACCAGCTGTTCGAGTTTTGGGAGAGGAACATTGTCCCATTCTTGTCTGATGCAGAAGTCAAGCTGCTCAGCAGTCCTGGCTCTTCTTTCTCAATATATATATATTTAAAAATATATATATATATATATATATATATATATATTAATATATATTATATATATTATATAGATTATATATATAAATAAATTATTATATTATAATTACTGTACTAATTTATATAATACTATTAATGTATATATATATAGATATACATATATATGATATATATATATAAAAGCATTGCACTTATATTAGGGGTGCAACGAATACTCGTATCGATATTGAACCGTTCGATACAGTGCTTTCGGTTCGTACGCATATGTATCGAACAATACAAAATTTGTAATTTATTTTATCAACTTTCCTTCTGACGATGCTGTCTGTGTTGAGCGCTCAGTGAATCTGTGTTCAATTCAAACATAATGTTCTGCCGGGTGTGTTGTTGGTTTTCTCTCGATTTCTGAGTCGACAAGCGCCTTTGTTACTGGGACCAGTCATTTTAAGAAAGGCCCCCATTAGAACCCATGAGAAATGCAAGAAATGCATTATTGCTCAGTCTGCAATATCTTTCCCAGAACAAACACCAATTGCAAATAACATACTAAAAATAAACCTGAAAAATCTGTTTAGAACAGCGTACTATGTTGCAAAGAGTGAACTACCACTGGCAAATTTAGCAGTCTTTGCAAACTTCAAAAAGCAAATGGCCTAGATCTTGGTTCCACTTGCCTCTTACCCGTGACTTCAGTGGAAATTTCAAATTCAGGATCTGACACAGACTGATTCATGTTCTACACAGTTCTACAAGTTCAAGAAAATTCTGTTTAATTAGAACCAGATATTTGAGTTGATGATTGTAATTTTACACATGTTGTAATTTGTTTTTCAACAATTTTTTGATTAATGTTTTGTTTCCTTTACAATATTATACTTTAATGTATAATATTGTAAAAGGAAACAAAACATCAATCAAAAAATTGCTCTCTTTTTTATTCGGGCTACTTACATTTATTTTGGGCTACCAAAAACTGAAGAGTCCCTGCCCGAAGGGCTACCAGGGATTTTGAAATTTTGAGAGCCCTGAGATATATTTATTTTTTTAATTACTTTTGTTTCAGCAACATTAAATTTAAAAACTGTACTTTTGAGTTAAAATATATATTTATAATTTTAATAAATGACAAATTAAAAAGGCATGAACATTTTTTTTGTATCGAAAAAATATCGAACCGTGACACCAAAGTATCGAACCGAACCGTGAATTTTGTGTATCGTTGCACCCCTAATATATATATATATATATATGTCACATTTTTTAAATGTAATGTTGCTGAAACAACAAATAATAAAAAAAAATAAATCTATCTGATCGAGAAATCACTCATCTTTGGAAAAGAGAGTTTATTACAGAGAAATGGCTCTTTCCAAAATAAAAGCTATACTATACGCTTCTTCTGGGCTATATTCTCAGCAGCATATTAAACATATCAGGTCCCCATAAGGAGAATCATGTGCTAACGGCTGTCTAAATGACTCGGGTAAAGTTTGTAGCATGCGTGCTTGTTGTTTTTGTCTGCTTCCACTTGTCTTTGCACTAGGATGATGTCGGCGTAAATGTGCAGTCATATTCGTTGTGTTCCCACTAGTGCTGTCAGCGTTAATCTTGTTAAATGACATAACGCCATAACGCGCAAATCATCCGTTATTCCACTATATAGAAGTCATTCTTTTTTGATACAAAACTCAAAACAGAGGCTATTAATCTTTCAGTCATTTCTAACCCCCCCCCCCCCATCCCCACATGCGTACTACCCTTTAGGGCTAAGCCCCGGTGTATCAAATGTCTGCCTCCGCCTCTGTTCCCACCAATTGAGCATTGCGTGGCACATCCGACATACTGTTTTACTTTTGTCCATGACGTGCTTACCATCAGGGTCATGCTTCACATGAAAACCAAGATAGTTCCAAACGCCAGATCTGAATGAGGTGGGGGAGGTTCAATTTCGGGTAGCGTTGAGGAAGTTGCCATGTTGCAACAAGCTTAGCTTCTGTCTTGCTAGCTTGCGCTATGCTTAGTCGATCTGCACTCGACAGTGCAGCCTAGGCGGAGTAGTCGAACGCAGATCCACTGAGCGCTCAACACAGACAGCATCGTCAGAAGAAAAGTTGATAAAATAAATAAAACATTTTGTATTGTTCGATACATATGCACACCGAACCGAAAGCACTGTATCGAACGGTTCAATATGGATACGTGCACCTCTAATATATATTAGGGGTGCATAATTGCATATATTTGGTTCATAATGGATGTTTTCAGCTGGTGAAAGGTCTGGACTGCAGCCAGGCCCATCAGCACTCTGACACTTTTACTATGAAGCCATGCTGTCTCCCATCCAGACAGCATCCAAACCTGTATGTACCTTTCAGCACTGATGGTGCTTTTCCTGATGTGCATTAATGCCATTTCCTCTGGCACTAATCCACATCCAGACTATCACTGCAGGATTTTGAACTGACTCTTGATAACAAGCCCAAAGCTCTCACTCCTTTTGTTTTTTAGGCCAGATGATACAATGATAGAGTTTTAACCCAGATTTGTGGATTTCTCAACATGCTCCTGAGCCCATGCAGTGATTCATGACAGAATCATCACAGTTTGTAATGCAGTGCTGCCTGAGGGCCTGAAAATCGCGGGCATCCAATATTGATTTTCAGCCTTGTTCCTTGCACACAGAGATTTCTCCCAATTTTCTGAATCCGTCGATGATATTACGCTCTGCACATGACGAGATATTCAAAGTCTTCACAGTTTTACATTAAGGAACATTATTTCTAAATTCTTCCACAAACATTTGGCTTAAACCTCTGCCCATCTTTACTACAAAATCTGCCTCTCAAAGACTCTTTTTATGCCGAATGACATTAATGACCTGTTGCTAAGTAACCTAATTAGTTGCAGTGTGGCTCCATAGTCCTTTACGTAGTTGTTAGGCAAGCAAAAGGTTGCTGACCTGGTTCCAGTCAGAGATATAATTCCCTTTTGGCTTGAGTCAGGAAGGACATCCAGTGTAAAACACTTTGTGATAAGGGAGCGGCTCAAGAGTAGTTAGATGCAGACTGATCCTCCAGCTGTTTCTTATTAGTAACACATTTTTTTCCAGTCTTTGTGTTTCCCCATCCCAATTAGGGCATCAAATTCAAGTAAGCTGAAAATTGTCACACACTAGTAAAATGTCAAAGTTTACATATTTATATGTTTTCTGTGTTCTATTTTAGATAAAGTGTAGGTTAATGAGATGTGCAAATCATTACATTCTGTTTCTATTTACGTTTTACACAGCGTGCCAACTTAAGCTAACATAAGAGTGCTTTTGATTGCATCCACGTTTGTATTAAATAGCCTACAGCTAAAATTTGTTTGGTCCGCGGTGTACTCGGGTTATAAAGCCACAGTCCAGCAATCTTATCGTTCAGTATTTGTACTGTAATTATATACTTTGTAGTATATAATTTACTGTTGCTGGTCGCAGTTGTTGTCATATGAAAGAGCAGGAAGGCATACACTTTGCTCAGCATTAGATGACATAAAGCTGGGATATTTAATATTTAAGCACTTTGCATGTCTGTAAACTGACGAGTTTACACCGAGACTGATGACATGACACTCATGACACATGTTGTATTGATGATGTTCGAAACATGAGTATTAACAGGTTCTTCAAAGCAAAGTCACTGCTGCTGATTAAATGTGGTTCAAAATCACATTAATGCACTTTGCATGTGCTCATAACATGTTGTTATATCCGCTTGTGAGTTTGGACTCTGTTGATGCACGGCTATACTCTGATGCAGTCCTTCTTCTGTGAGAGTCTTGATGTTTGCTGTTGTTGAGACTGGTTCTGGGAGTTTGATGAACAACCTTTTGGTTACTAAACATCTGACCTCCACATAATACAAGCCCCCCCCCCAAAAAAAAGAACTTTGTGCAGTCTACAGCAATGCAGTGTAAATACAAAACAAAACAAATACATTAGTATTTTGGAGTTTCGTGGGTTCTCCTATGGAAACTCTCCTGATGATAAAAAACAGAAAACAAAGCGGAAAAAAATTCCGCTGCTGATTCATAATGATGATGTTCGGTTCTCAGTGTACATTTAACTAAGATGTGCTTAGCTAAGAGTAATTGAGTTTTCTCAAGAGATTAACCGGTAAATAATTAACACCAAGGGAGTGAGTGTGAATGGCTGACTAAAAGATTTTAAGTGCTGAATCACTTGAACGTTTTCTTTCTGGTGCATTTGGTCACCTGTTACTTTATTGCCCTTTAGCTAAGCTTATCATGAGACAATAAAAACAAACAAATAATACCCAGGTCAGATTGCTAATCCATTGCAGAGTTATGTGCTGTGGTTAGTATGAGCAGTGACTTGCAGGTGTTCGTGTGTTGATGGGCAACATGTTGAACTGCTCTGTGACGCACGGATAGCTGGAAAATGCGTACCTTCGTGCTCTCGCAGCTTCTAATGGTCAGATTAAATTGACCTTGATACTGATCAGCAACATTTGTTTATGTGTGATGAATGTGTTTGTTTATCAGTGTGCGCATGTATAAAACACAATGAGAACTGTGAGGAGTAGAGCTCTTCAAGCTCACAAACCAGCCTTTTGTTATAAAGAGAAGGAGAAGTACGTCGCCATGCAGAGGATGATACCATGTCAAAGGTCCTCACTGTAGAAGCGATTTTGTTTGGGGTCTTGGTGTTTTCTGGTATTTTGGGAAACATCCTGGTCATCTATGTGGTGAGAAAGCACACAGTATTTGGAGTGTGAAGTGGGCTGAATGTTTTGGTTTGAGTTGTTCTCAGTCTGTCTCGTTTTTGCTATCAGGTGTTTCAGTCAGTCACTAAGACTCCACCTCGGAGACTCCCTCCTTCGGACCTTATTCTGGTGCACCTGTCCCTAGCAAACCTGCTGAGCTCACTTTTCCGCACAGTGCCTATTTTTGTGTCAGACCTGGGCTTGGATCTGTATTTGTCCTCCGGATGGTGCAGAGTCTTCATGCTGCTGTGGGTGTGGTGGCGAGCCGTGGGATGTTGGGTGACCCTGACGCTGAGTGCTTTTCAGTGCACCACACTGAGACGCCAAAATGTGGCCTTTGGACCTCTTACTGTCCAGAGGGAGAGGCGGCGGCTCTGGGTTGTCCTGGGGGTGGTGTGGGGGGCGAACCTGGCTTTCTCTGTCCCTGCACTGGTATACAGCACTCATGTTAAAGGCAATGCCACAGTGGAGCTGATGGTGATCAGTTCCACCACCAGGCCTCTGCTAGGCTGCGTCTGGGAGTTTCCATCAGAAGAACAAGGCACGGTCTTCGCCTCTACTTCGCTGGCAGTGAATGAGGTGTTGCCGCTGGTGCTGATGGTTTGCACCAATGTTGCCACACTGCACGCTTTGGCCAAGCACATCCGAGCTGTTGCCTCAGGAGGGACCCACACCGAACTCGACAAACATCTGTCTAGCGAACGTAAGGCAGCTCAAGTAATCATGTCTCTGGTGTTGCTGTTTGTTGTCTGCTGGGTGCTACAGGTTGCTGCAGTAACGTACTACAACCACAACAGGGGGCACCATGCTGAAGGGCTGCTGACTGTATCCCATTTTTCTTCTTCACTGTTTGTGGGATTCAGCCCCTTGGTGGTGGCCCTGGGACATGGAAAACTGAGGAGAAAAATCATGAGTATGATGCTAGGGTGAGCTACAATTCTTAAATGTCACAGTAAGGGTGCCGAAAAGCAGACTAAATCCCCAACGGCTACAGGAAAGAAAAAAACAGTTTTTGTTGTTCAAAGAGAGATGAAGGTCATAAAAGTGCAAGAGAAGATTAAATAAAAATAAATTCTGAACAAGAGCACTCAGAGAAGAGCAAGGACTATACTAAAACTCTCATGTTTTATTATGTTTTTATTACAACACATTGAGGTGTGACCTTTGACTCATGACCTTAAAGCATTACATACTAAAATGGTGTCTTTATTTTATTGTCTTTACTCATATGTTTGGAGCAGAGTCGAATGAAATCTTTGGTTCCTATAAACGGTTAAATTTGGGATTTTCACATATATTCATGCGGTGTGGGATTTTGCAAAACTTTCTAGCGTCTTTGTGACATTAAATAAATAAAAAGAATGTTGTACAGCTCTCTTCAAGACCTTTCTATTTAAACTATTACTCAATATGGTTTTTTAATCATTTTTTAAGGTCATCTTTTATCTCAGGTGCTAACAATGAAGGTTGAGGTCGACTGCCAACCTAGATACTCATGTCCCTCAAGGTCTAGGATATTGTTTTGGGGCAATATTAATTTTCAATTTCACATTTGGTGTCACCTTGACATTGACCAAATTTTCATGAACTGAAGCGCAACATATTACAACATAGAAACATCCTCAATCAAAAATACACCAAAACTGTTCTTTGGAACAGTTCTTCTTGGCTACAAACATACGTTTCTGAAGGTTAGCCTTGTGTTTTCCCACTCATTTAAAATTAGTGAGACAAAAAACATCACCAGAAGCCATAATGATAATTAATGATGTTATACTGAACCAAAAACAAAATGCTTCAGCCACTGCCGTGGTACTTTTTTTCTTTCCTTTGGACCCTTTTGTCTATAATGAATACAAAAAAATAAAAAACATAAAAAAAACAATAGATCATGATTAGTGATGGCATATTAGGTGCATCTCCAAAGCTTTTGCAGAGTACCATCAGTGCACGAGTGTGGACTTGATACAAGAACGAAGCTGCCGGTGGCCGACCGCCAGAATGACAGGTGACAAGGCAATGAAGATGATGTTGGCAAAACGAGCAATGACCATCAGATAATCGGCTGAGGAGCCACGGTTGTAGTTGAAGTAGTTGACAGAGATAACACTGGTCCCCCATGAGAGGATGAAGAGTAGTATGAGGGTGAGAATCACCTGGGGAAAAAAAAGCACACAATTAAAAAGAAAGCACTTTCAGAGTTCAAGACTTTGTTGAATTTGCTGTAGTGATTTACTCTTAAACACATCCAGTCACATAGCTCATATCTGAAAAGACTGATTTACAGCTGAGCTCATCACTCTATGCAAATACAGCAAACTGAAACGAAGAGTGATGACTCAGAAGAGACTGCAAGTGGTTGCTGGAGCGATTGAAACAGGAGGCAGGGCTGCAGTGGCACTCATATGTCACAGGGAGATATGAGAGAATTTGCACCTGAAACAAACCAGCACATTGGGAGGATGCGTTTGATGACAGTGTGAATGTGCAGCTGTCCCTTCTCAAGTTGATGTCCTTTTCTTTGAGGCAATGCATTTACATTTTTTAAAAGCAACTTATTACATTTTACATTCATTTACACAGCTCGCTGACTCCTTCATCTACCTCCAGTGACCCCTTCTTCCTCACCTTGGCTGCTCGTTTCTCGGCTGGCACCCGCTTTAATACCGGTGCGTCTTTCTGTGGATTCCGACCATGGGTGTAGAGGGTGTAAAGCGAGGTTAGGTTTGTAATGGCCATCAAGATTATAGGAATCATTTCATGTATCACCAAAGATGTGGTGGCGTAGGCCAGGCCAATGGTGGAGGGAAAGTTCCACACACAGCCCAGCAGAGGGCGTGTTGTGCTGCTCACCAGCATCAATGTCTGAGGAAAGAGCAGGGAGAGCAGAGGGTGGGTCATGTGCTCAGCCAGCAAGTCAGAGAGATTATTATTTTTCTAGATCATTGATAGATTTTGGCACTCAAAGCCGATAAGCCAAGAATCTGTGAACTCGTAATACATTTTTAATTTTTTAAAATAGAGTTGAGAGAAACAAAATAGAGAAAAAGTAAATCAATCAAATGCTTATGGCAAAACCAATGGGACAAAACATATGCAGTACTGCAATACACAGTAATACTAGAATTACTGTAGTAGTTAAAATAATACCAAATGGTCTAGTCTGAGTTTAATGATGATTATGGTTGCTGATAATGTTTTAGATGACCTCATTTTGGTTCTTGTCTCTTTTAAAATATGTAATTATTATTATGGCCCTGATGAAATCAGAGGGGTTGGAAGAACAACACATACACTATACTAGGTACACCTTATTAGAAGTCACTCAGAGACTGTGGTCCACATTGAGATGGTAACATCACACAGTTGCTGCAGATTTGTCAGCTGCACATGTGGCATTTAAAGATGCTCAGCTGATACTACAATGCCAAGGATGTGCCAAGAAATTATCCCTCACTCAGTTACACCACCATCAGCCTGACCCATGGATACAAAACAGGGTGGATCCATTTTTACATGTTATTTACACTAACTTCTGACCCTGTCATCTGAATTCTGCAGCAGAAGTCAAAATTCATCAGACCAGTCAACATTTTTCCAATCACGTATTGTCCAATTTTGATGAGCCAGCGTTAACTGTACCCTCAGTTTCCAGTTGCTGCTGACAGTGTTGTCGGTGTTCTGCTGCTGTAGCTCATTGGCTTCAAGGTTTGACGTGTTGCCCAAAATTCTCTTCTGCATATCTCAGGTTTAACAAGTGGTTATCAAAAAAAGTCATTTTTACAGAGAGAACTGCCGCTCACTGGGTATTTTCCTCTGTTAATTCTAGACTTGGTTTTGAAGGAAAGGCCCAGCAGATAAGCAGTTTCTGAAATACTCAGAGGAGCCCACACAACAATCATCCCCATGCTGATGCTTAGTTTAAACTTCAGAGGTCATCTGGACCTCATGTCAATGCCAAAATGATTGAAGTTGCCTATTAGATATTTGTTAATGACAAGTTAAACAGATGTATGGCAGATCTGTGTCTATGTAAAGATCTATATGACTGTTAAAATGTGAAATGCATTTATTCATTCTTTTTTTTGTAATTAAATGATAAATACAGTGTCAAAGATTTGATAACCACATGAGTATCATCAGTACATACAAAACTATTGCATTAGTTTTGAATACAAGCTAAGTATTTTTTACTAATTGTGTAATGTAATGTTTCAGACAGTCATTGTTATACGTGTCACTTTATGTGATAGAATAACGACAGGGAAAACATTGATTGATAAAATAATTTGAAAAATTACTATTCATGATGACAAATAAAAAGAAATGGACTACTTGGAAGGTCCTTGGCAGTGCCCCTCTCACCTCTGTAGTGTTCTTGTTCCCATTAGAGGAAAATATATGAGCTGGAATCGAGTAAATAAGGTTACCAATCCAGATGAGGCCCAGGCACATCAGGAGGGTCTTAGGAGCACCCCGGGGCCCATTTGTAGCACCAGGAGCCACACGCTTCAACGTCTGGAGGTGGAACGCACTGAGGAAAAGTGTTGACCACGCATTGACTGACCGCAGCCACACCGACATTCCCATTAGCAACTGACAAAACCCTTTGGCTGTATATATCTGTAACAACAAAAGAGGGGCTTAAAGGTGTAAGCGCAAGGGGCTCACAAGTTAAATCTAGATTTAATTTGGTTAATTTGATCTTTCATGCATGTTTTCTGTGTAAAACACATCATTGGGTGAAACACAACCAATAGAGTATTGAAAAAAAAAAGACTATGAAATGAGTGAAGAGTGAATTATGGATAATGACAATACCTGCAGTCCAAACTCTGAGATGATAAGGAGTGTGTTCCTCAGTAGTGATACCAGCAAGTTAGACATTGCCATGTTAACGATGATGATGTCCGAGTTACGTCCCCAGTTATGCTCCAAGATTATGCTCTTACCAATGACCAGAATCACAGTGGTATTGCCCAGAATTCCCATTATCACCAGGATAATGTAAAAGGCAGTTTGTGCAGGGGAAACAAAGATATGCATTCTCATCCCTGCAAGATCTTTTCTTTGGTCCGAGAGGCTGCTCATTGTTCCACAAATAAATAGACCAAGCTGTAAAGGAGTTTTAACAGCTCACGAAAAGTTCTGAAGAAATTTTCATCGTTGATTTGAATGAATATCAAGTGAAGATATATTAGTTATTATCCTTGAACAAGCTAGTAAGACGCTGTACTGTAGTTAACTGGCCTTTTGGTTGATTTTTTCAGTTTGAAGATGGAATCACCTGCGTTACTCCTCCATGGACTTACTGGAATAAACTGATCTTGCCTGTATCATTGGAGCTGTGCTCTTGTAACACAACCACTGTTCAGGCCACAGAACATTACAAAGCATCCACGATACTCGAGTCCTCGGAGAGCATGAGGTGTATATTAATGAAGCACAGGAGATTAATCTACTTCCTTGCATAAACGTGCTTCCCTTGCAAGTTTGCTACCATCATCCTAAGGGAAGTGAAGGCTGTTTAGCGTGTGGTCATGAAACCTACTAACAGATATTCCTAAAGAAAATCAATACTTTGCACCTTTGTTAGAATAAGTAAATTAGTGGGAATTCTTCTCTCCTTATTCAGGACACGTTGCAGTGTTCACCAGTAGAAATTTTACAGTTTCTTGGCGCTCTAGGCAAAAATGCACAGAGGGTTTCTCCATTTATGTTATAAGGTTACGTTATAATGTATTTGATTCAAATCCAGGCCAAAGACTTTCTGCATGGTCTCTCTCCGCACGCACCAGCTTTCTGTTAAGGTCCAAGACAAGGCAGACATATTAGGTTAATTGGTGGTTCTAAATTGGGCCTACTTGTGAATATGAGTCGGCCTCTGTGTTAATCATGTAATGAATTGGCGACCTGTCAAGGATGTACCCCGCCTCTCACCCTGTGACAGCTGAGATAGACTCCAGCCCCATATCACTGAATTGGATTAGCAATTAAGGAAAGATAGATGGAGTATTTTTATCACCAACTGAGCGAGGCTTCCTTCTTATTTGTGTCATTAATGCTAGCAGCACCCGGCAGGGGGTATACTCATCTTTTTAAATTAGATGACAGGTTGCACTGAGTTAGCGTAACTGCAAGACAAGAAAAAAGAAAAAGTTTCTGAAATGTGAGATGTGCAACGACAAAATGCATTCTGCATTGCATCGAGGGATCAAATCATGTTAACATCTTTATCCCCTTTGTGAACGCATGAGTTACTTATTTATGAAGCAGAACATCACTTCTACTCATCCTAAATGAGTGCATTATGACAAGAGAACAAGAAGTTTCCCCATTTACTTAGTTTTCAGTATCTCAGTATCTGTAGGGCTGCGTCAGGAAGGTCATCTGGCATAAAGACTGAGCGGGTGAAAGTAGCCTCTTGATTACAGCTAATGACCACTAGATGGCGCCTTAAACAAACCAAATACAACACACAAGACAAAACAGCATAGTTTCTATTTATTTAATTCATTTTTTATACAAATGTTTATTTACTCGGTACAGCATTCGTTAGTAGACAAAACTGTAAGTAAATTTAGTAGCGTTACATACAATGTCAGCACATTCAAAAAAAAAATATTCACAGTAGCCTACATATGTCTGATCAGCAGGCTAAAAATACAACTATCATCTTCATAATTTACAAGTATCAAATTTAATCCCATCAGCTTTAAAAACATTTTTATATACACATCACTTATGATAACGTGGAGACACATTCAACTGTGAGATGAGCGTGTCCATCAGAGAAAGGAAAATATAAAATATTGACTGTATATCATCTGTGCGGGCAGGTAACACTTTCTGACTCATTCATGATCAGAACATGTTGAACTGGTTTGATATAATAAACCATGTAACTAAAGAAAGATGATGAAAAATGCTCTGACACATCTCCTAGAGTGTGTGTGTGTGTGTGTGTGTGTGTGTGTGTGTGTGTGTGTGTGTGTGTGT